CTCCAACGGAAGACTGCCTCTCCTCTGAGAGGTAATCAGGGTATGAGGTCTGCGTGGTTTTGATTTGTTCTCTTTTAAGGTGAAGCCATTTCTTGCTTGCAGCAATGATTGCCATTTCTCCGGGTTTACCCCAAAGGGCCTGTGAAGTGGTTTTATTCCAGTTAACAGCCTAGTAATTGGAAGTGTTCAGAGTGCAAGGAACCAGTGACAAGAGGAAGGGATTAGCCATTGAGGGATAACTGGGAGTTGGGGACAGGAAGATGTGGGAAGGTTACTGAAAATATCACAGAGGAGGATGTTTTTAAAGAATCAGCTTCACTTTTGATGGTCCCACAGCAAAGCTTAAATGACCACTGTAAATCATCTGGCTGTTGACCATAAGATGCTTGAGCTTCCAGTGGGTCTTTTCTTGTGTGTGGCTACATCAATAGGTTTTGATTCTGAATTTGTCTTAAATTACAAGGACTGTATAGGTAGTCCCTAATGGCAAATGAACTATGCTCCCCAAATTCAGTCTCAGGTTGGTTGGTGAGCTTAATCAACCCAGGTTTCTCCAGCAAGGGCTATACTGTAGTGCTTAAAACATGCACCCTGGAGGAAGATTCCTGGATTTCAAACCCTGCTTCTATCACTTAATGCTTGTGGATCTTGGAGAAAGTCATTTTGTCAAAGTGTCAGTTTCTTCGTGGGTGAAATGGGAATAATAGTAGCAATTCTTACCTTGCAGGGTTGTTGTGGAAACTCGGGGACCCAGGAGAAGTGCTTCCTGCCTGGCACTTAGGACAGTCTGTCCAGGCCAGTCACTGCCCCCATCTGCCCCAGCCTTGTTAACTTCCCCCTGACTCCCTTTCTATCTGGGTGGCTACTGTACACGGGATCTTGCATTTCCAGAATGCATCTTTCCCAAGAGACAAGACCACTGAGAATCTTAAGATAAGTTTTAAAACTGCAAGCAACCTGGGTTGTCTTTCCATTTATCAAGAATCGTTAGCTTGATGTTTGATAGAAACCCCTGTGAGGATGCTCATGACCTTGTACCTGGCTTGGCATGAGCCTTCCATAGACCCAGCTCTGGTTCTGTAGCAGCAGTTGCTGTTACTGAGGCATAGGATGCAGCAACTCTCAACAGTGACGTCTATTTAATCACCTGCCCCATCTCCTTTATCAGGAGCCCAATAACTTCAAGGGGAGGTGGTGGTTTACTTTCCTTAGAAAGACCCATTATTGAAAAAGTTGGCTACCCAGGAGGGAGCTGTAATATGCATTCATACACTGAAAAGCAATTCTCACTACAGGAAACTGGGTAGCTTCTGAGCTCAAAGGCATATCCGGAATTTATTGGGGATGAGGCTCTTTTCTCCTAACCATTTTTCCAATTTCTCATGCCCAAGACCATTTCTTTTCTTTTCCTCCAAAGAAACAGGCTAACAATGCCTATAAAATTATTGAACTTTTGTTGTTTTAATTCATTTTCAGGAGTTATTGACCCAATAGAACTTAATGACACTTCAGAGTTGAGGCCCTTTGTGTAAATCCTTCATCCTTTGCAGATTAACAGCCAGATAGGATCTGGAAGGGCTCCAAAGTTCAAATGCTAAAATCTATACCAGATTTTTAGCTGAAAGAAAGTTACTGTTCCTGCATACTAGCTTGATTTAAAAAAAAACAAAACTGGAACAACAATAACAACAATAACAAAATTCAATTTCTGTCCCTTTTCTTAAAATTTTTTTTGAAACTAACAGATTCTGATTAATTGGATGAAAATCAGGAACACAAAACTCATAGCTTTCTCTCAAATGTTCTTTGTTCATGGCCTGTAAAATCTGATTTCGAATAACATCAGATTAATTAAGTATATGTAAAACAGCCACTAAAAGTGGATTTTATTTTTACTTAATCCATGGAAAATAGGAAGCGATATATTCCTAGGTTCTGTATAAAAAGTCTTCCCTTTATTGCTGGGTTCTGAAGTGAAATTTTAATTTGCATATTTTAGTACAGGATCCCTCCACACCTCCCCCAAAAGGGACAATGATATGTGGCATTTGCTTGCCCTCAGCCAGGTTCTGATGGAAGCATGAGATAACGAATGTCAGTGCCTAGGTCCTCTGAGACTGGAAGGCATTAGGAGGTGGAGGAAGTGGTACAGCCCTACTGTGGGAGCCTGTTCCTTTGTAAAATGAATCCAAGCCCTCAGCCAAGCCTTGTCTGACACAGACAGCTTGGGCTGGCACTGTTATTACCCACTCCAGGCATCTGCCCATTTCTAAATCTTCAATGCAGAAGAGACAATCTCACCATCCTACATAATGTGTACCAGCCGAATGGATCCCAATTTATCAGGAAAACTATAAATTGCAGAACACCAGACTGAAACTAAAGTAATAAGCCCTGTGATCTCTGTACCATACATTTTAGGCTGTTATTTAAGGTCTCCAAGGAGATTGGTGCCATAAAAGCCATTTCTCAGGAATTCTGCTGGCTATGGAAGCATGCTGCTGCAACTGCTCGTGCTAATATATTACAACTTGTTTATCACACTCCGAAGCAGCAGCAGCAGCATCAACAGCGTTACCAAGGGAGGGGAAATGATGCGCATACCCTCTCAGTAGGCAGCCAGATTTTTGTTTCCTGTTGTCTACATTACAAAGAAGCGTGGTGCTTTTTTCTTTCTTGTCCTCAGACCACTTTGTACCCCCTTCCCAGAAATAGCTGGCTACCTCAAAGGACACTGAATAGGGCTTCTTTGAATCTCCATATCTCTTTTGGAGCTCTTACCCCTTTCAGTACAAAGATAACATGCAGCTGTCTGGAAACAACTGCAAAATGTTGGGGAATGGTATAAACTTGAGACCCATGGAGACCTGGATATAAGTACCACCAAGTATCCATGTAACCTTGGGTGGGTTATTTAACTGCTTTGAGCCTTAGTTTCCTCCTCTGTGTTTTCATTTGTCTGTTTAAGGAACAACAATGCCTCTTGTGAGGATTAAATGAGATAGCAGATTAGAAAAGCTTATTACAGTGACCAGTGGATAGCAGGGACTTGAAAAATGTTAATTCCCTTCACCTAATTAGATTATGCAGGAATAAAATATAAGATATTGATTTGCTACTTTTATAAAAGAGTTGACTATGATAGAAACAAGGTCTTAGCACATTAATTCCGGCTCTTCGCCTAGTAGAGAAATCTTTAGTGCAATTGTAGAGTGCTGATGGAGATATCTCCCTGTGTTAGTTTGCTAAGGCTACCATAACAAAGTATCACAGACTGGGTGGCTTAAACAACAGAAATTTATTTTTTTACAGTTCTGGAGACTAGAAGTCTGAGATCAAGGTGTCAGCAAGGTTGTTTCTTCCGAGATCTCTCTCCTTGGCTTTAGGTGACTGTCTTCTCCCTCTGTGTGTGTTGATGTCCTAATCTCTTCTTATAAGGGCATCAGCATATTGGGTCATAGCCCATCCTAATGACTGCATTTAACTTTAATTACCTCTTTAGAGACCCTGTCTCCAAATACAGTCACATTCTAAGGTACTGGGGGTTAGGACTTCAATGATGAATTTTGGGGAGACACAAGCAAGCCTATAACACCTCCCTACCTGACACCCTTGTTTCAGCAACAGAGAGGGATAAGAAGAGCCTGATTCCACTCAAGGAGCTGCTGTGTGCTCATTATAATCTTTTAAAAGATGAAGTGAATTTGGAAACCCACCCATTATATTGCCGAACACATGAAATAATTCTAGAGAACAAAGAAATTGCAATAAAAATATTATTATCTGACAATGTCCTCTGCCTAATTGGCTACCCAGTGAAGAATTAAAGAAAAAATGTCAAGCCTTCCCAGTAATGGATTAGTAGTCTGATGACTGTGAAATCCTTTAGGTTGCTGAGAAGTCATTTCCCAGCTTAATAGAGCTGGTAGTTATCTAGTGCACTGTCATGGTTGGTTTGGCCCGTGATGGATAATGGCTGGATCTTAGGGTTGGATAGCTGTGCTGGGAACGGGCTCTGTACATCAGTATTGGGACTTGCTTTTCAGCTCTAGGGACTAAGGCTTGGGAGCCCAGAGTGGCCTCTTATCTCTGTGTGGCCAGCATAGCAAGCCAAGGCAAGGAGGAACCCAGCAGCTGTGCCATGGGGGCTGTTTCTGGGGAGGTGTGTGAGTTTCCACTTGCTGCTGTAACAAATGACCACACACTTGGTGGCTTGAAATATTTGTTATCTTACATTTCTAGCAATCTGAAGTCTTAAATCAGTCCCGTGGGGCTAAAGTCAAATTGTCAGAAGGGCTAGTTCCTTTTGGAGGTTCTAGGGAAGAAATCTGTTTCCTTGCTTTTTCTAGCTTCTGTGGGCCACCTGCATTCCTGGGCTAGTGGCCCCTTCTTCCATCGTCAAATCCAGCAGCATTGCGTCTTCCTCTTTCTGATTCTCTGACCTTTGCTTCAATCCTTACATCTTCTCTCTCACTTTGATTCTCCTGCTTCCCACTTTTACTTATAAGGACCATGTGATGACATTGGGCCCACTTGGATAATGTCATGGCAAAATTCTTGACTTAATCACACCTGTGAAGTCCCTTTTGCTATGTAAGGTAACACAGTCACAGGTCCTGGGGACTGGGATATGACGTATTTCGAGGAGCCATTATTCTACCCATCACAGGAGAGAAGGCTGGTGGTCTCTAGGGCCAGGATACAGCAGGTAGTCAACAGCTCAAATTCTAATCCAAGGGTTCTTAACCTGGCTTGGAGGTGGGGAGATGAGATGGGTGGGCATATATGTGTCTGTATGTGTGTGTGTGTGTGTGTGTGCATGTGTGCTCTTATGCATGTGTTCACAGGTTGTACAAAGATAGGATTCAGGAGGCCCATGAACTGCCCCCCATTTATTTATTTATTTATTTATTTATTTATTTATTTATTTATTTATTTATTTATTTATTCATTCATTCATTCATTCATTCATTCCTATAACAATGCTCCTTTCTTTAAATTAGAAAACATTGCTCTATTTCTACTAGGTGAAAACCTATGCCTCAGGTACCAAAGAAAAGAAAGAGCAGCTGGGCCCCCTAGATCTCAGAGCCCCCCAAAAAGCTGTGAGCCAGGGTCTTTGTTCATTATCACAAGTTCTAGGTGTTTCTTGTTTCTTTCCTTTTGTTCTGGCTAACTTTTATTGAATATTTGCCATGATGAGATAGAGTGCTGCATGCTTTATCTGTTATTTATCTTATAATCCTTGCTGTATTTGTTAGCACAAGGCCTCCTGCTGAAACAAATCACAACATTTCAGTGGTTCGACCCCATAGAGGCTTATTTCTTGTTCACATGACCCTCTGGTGCCAAGCCCTGATCTCAGAGTGGCTTTCTCTCCCTGGATGGTCTGCCACCCAGGCTTTGTCCCTGGCGCTGCTCCACCATCCCCTAGAAACCCAGATGACCCCAGACTTCTCTGCATGCATCCTGTTGGTTGGGGAAAAGCAAGTAGAGGAGGTTTACCTGCTCCTCAAAAATCCCAGCCAGAAGCAGCATGGATCATTTCTGCTCACATTTTATTGTCCCAAATGTGGCCATACCTGAGCACAGGGGGAGCTAGGGAATGCAGTGCCTGGCTGGGCAGTTTCCTCCCAGTAACAATTCATATTTTGCAAGTTTTGGGGGAGCGTGAGTTTTTGGTGGACATTTGCTGTCTTGTCCCATCTCCTAAGTGACTCTATTTGGTAAGAGTATCTCTATCTATTGAAGAGCAAATCAAGACTCAGAACATTCTGATGATGTGACCTGATTAGTAAGTGGCATAATCAGAATTCCTGCACAGGCCTATATGAACTCTTTTTGACTGCAGATCTCATGTTTGTAACCAGGGCCTCATGCTAGCACTTGTCCTGATCTTCTTCAGGATACCTGATAGGGTCAGCCATGCCCCCAAACCACAGGCTGTCAGTCTGCACACCCTGTCCTGGGAGGCAGCCCAGCAGCAGTTCCTTGCTGTTTTTTCTTTCCTGCCTTCTCTCCTTTTATTCAACACCCAGGCCCTGTTGCTGTTGCCAAGACCAGTGATCCAGATGTTTTCTTACCTCCCATCTATCTCCCTTAGTCAACAGCATTGATTCACAATGGTCCGGTTTCTCCAACCTGTTCCAAAAATGTTCACGGACATGTAGCTCCAAACATCAGTCATTTTTTAATTCTTCCCTGTCCCCCATTCATCCATTTATCCACATGCTGACATTTATACTATGCTTACTCTGTGCCGGGCACTGTACAATATACTTGGTAGGAATATGACCCAGGACTTGGCCTTAATGACATCATGTTGCCAATTTCAGAAACCAGTAGTGCTAGCATTTATCCTCCTCTCCCTGTTTCCATAATTTAGTGTTCCAGATCATGCCCTTATCCCTCCTACAACACTCAGTAATTTCCTTGATGGCCTGCTACCATGTCTATCTTTAGTTTAATTTCTTCCATATATTGTTGCCAAGTTAGTCTTTGTAAAGCAGAGTCCTGATGACATCAATTTCTAGCTCTAAATCTCTGGCTCCCTATTGATTGTAGAATAAGGTCTAAACTCTCTAGTGTGACATACAAAACTTTCATGATCTGGTTCCACTCTATCTTTCTAGTTTTATATCTCATTTCTCTCTTTCATGCTTCCTATCTTGACTGTGAATTGCTTATGAATCTCTACATACACTCCTTCTTTACCTCTCACCTGCATATGTATGCCACACATATCCTGTTCTTTCTCACCTCAAAATCTTTGATCCAGCATCATTTCTAGCATGAATGAATCTGTTCATGTTCAATAAATATGTGGTAAATGAATGGCTAGGTTCTAGCCCAGAATACTCTTCCTGCTCCTTCTTATGTCTTTGTACCCTTTTCATGGCAATAATTCACCATACATTATATTTATTTAATGTATACATTTTCTCTCTCTTACTAGATGGTGCTCAGGGCTGTATGTGATTTGCCGTTATCTATTGCACACCAAACCATCCTTTACCTGCTCAGCAGTTGAACACGATGTCCAATATATAGTAGGTCCTCAAAAATATGTGTGTGTATTGTGTGTATGTATTTGCATGTGTATGTATGAATATTGAATGGTTAGACCTTGCTAGAATGTTTTGAGGATTATAGAATCTAAGGGATCCAAGCACAGCTCTTGGCACACAGTAGGATCTCATCTGGAAACATGTCATGCTAAGGTGTTAATGACTGCTAAGTGTGCCAAGACATTTCTAAAGGGACATTTAATAAGGAACCTAAAGGAATGAGTCTCTAATTTTAGAATTTTAGAATTTCTGGACCAAGTGGGAAAAGTGTATGTGGTCAGGAATCCTCTGATCATTCCACACGGGCAGTCAGATTCTCAGCATGGGTGCAGCCCGTCTAGCCCTCTGGAAACAATCCATGCCTGTTGGAATTAATACTGGAGAGTGCAGTGCCCTGGCTACCGGTGGAGCCTGGAGTACTGGGGTGGAGGTGACTGGGTCCTCCATCATTCATCACAGGTTTGGACAGAGTACTGGTTGAATGCATCAGTAAAGGCATCAGAGCTGGAGATGTGAATGAGAACTCTAGTGCAGAGCTCTTTGCAATATCCACCTCTCTGGGTGCTTCTTTGCAATAAGGTGGGGAAGATGGAGGAATATGAAGTTTCACTCTTGCTTCATTTAGTGAGCAGACAGCTCTCTAACTGTTCCTTTCTGATAACTGCAAGTGTTCCTGTCCTCTTCATTTGGTGCCAGTCTTTGGGAGCATAGACACAGGCTGGGGGTTGTGTCTTTATTAGAGACATTAGCCACCAAGGGAGCCTGCTCAGGGTTTCACATGGTTTGCTGCTGTGCAGGAGGCCAGTAAAGTCACCAGGCTCCACATGATTTAATTAGAGACAAGATTTCAAGCTTTGTTTGTGTTCCCAGGATTTGGCATGATGGTACAGCTGGGACTGTGGAATCTCGGCTTCCTCTGTTTAGGTAATTGGTACAGCAGGGAGGGCTTTATTGGACCAACCGTACATTTTCTTCACTGAAGGTTTCCAATACTCAAAATACATTTCACTGACTTTAAATGAGTCGCTGGATATAATCCAGCCAAGGAAGGCGCATATCTTGAAAACTCTGTTGCTTCAATTCTTCTGTAAGGCTTGAAGAATGACAGAATTTGCAACCTAGGATATCCAACTCTTACATTAGACATATAAAGATAACTCTTTTTTTGTCGGTTCTCTGCAGCTTATCTCCTGTGTACATTGCAGAATGTTGTCAGGCCAAACAAAAAGCATGACAAAAGAATTTATCATAGCTCACCATTGTGTTTCTCTTTCTATATTCTGATATAACTCATTCTTACTGCTGCTAATACTTTCACCTTGCTCTTGGCTATTCTCTTTCCAGATGGCCCAGTATTTTTCCAAGTGGAGATGACATACAAGGTGTAATCGATCCTTTCTGCACCCATGCAGACAGCACTAACTGATCACAGCACACCTCAATGAGCTGGGTCTTCTATGTGGAATTCTGCTCGGGAGTGCCAGGGCAGCCACCAATGATCAGTGAAAGTGAGCATCTGAGCTAAAATCTATTTTGCCAATCTAGCAGTTTTTATTGACTCCTAGAAATGAAAAATGAGGATATAGCTCACTTACCCTATTCCTTCTCCTACTCTTCTCTCAAATCTTTGTTTTTCTGCTGATTATCTTTGAAACTTTAAATAATATGATTAAATTCCCTTTTTTTTGTTCGATCAAGTTTTAGCAGTATTTCTTGATTTCCCACTTTATAAGAAGAGAGTATTAGCTTTCTTATAGTTTCTTTAATCTCTCCTTTATGATTCTACTTTTCTTCTCCCATGATTTTTATATTTTCATGTTATTAACATTTACTTCCCTTCTATATATAGTGTGTCCTTATGACTCTCAATGAGACAGTCTACACCCACCAGTCTATCCTCTTTACCCTGCTTTATTTTTCATTATAACATTTTCAAGTGGTGAAAACATTTATTCCTTAATTACCTCCCCCCAACTAGAATTTAAATTTCATGAAGGGAGAGAATTCGTGTGTGTGTATTTTTTAGTGCTATATTCCCAACACCTAGAGTACTGCTGGTATAGTAAGTGAGGTACTTAATAAGTATCTGCTTAAGTAATAAATAAATTCTAATCATGCTCCTGATCCCAGCTAGCTCTTATTGGCAGGACCAGCCCTTTGTGTATGAGGAAATATTTGATCCTGTGAAGTTAAAGGACCATCTTACCTTCCGGTCCACTAGAGTATTGAGAACTTCCATGGAAGGAATCTTCCAAACTAGAATCCAAGTAAAAGAAATTTCTTTTACTTATTATCTAGCTTTAATCTTATAAGGCATATTGGCCTCTTGAGAAAGTAGAGCCCAGAACAGGCAGATTTTGGTGGGAAGGAGGAAAAAGAAGGGAAAGGTTCAGAACATGAGGTTATTTAAGGAGGTCAAAATTTGGGAGATGTGGAATTATGCAGCTGAGAATATAATTTGAAGAGAAAAAATAGAAAACTGACTTGCTTAAAATATTTCCCAGTAAACTGGCTAGTGATGTGCTGAGAGATTGACCTTTGAGACAGACTGGCCTGGGTTCTGGTTCTTTTCTGCTGCTTCTTGGCTGTGTGGTATTGGATGAGTTGCTCCACCTCTCTGAAAGTGAATTAGTGCTATTCATAAAGATGAACCTCTGTTGAATAACATCTGCATGTGCTTGCTCAATGACTCCGACACAAAATAAAAAGAGTCTCTTAATGTGCGGTGGGGGGGACGGACAAGGAAACAAGGCTGTACTTGTTCAGTTATAAATAATGAGGGGTTTAAATAACAAAAGCACTTCATTATCTCGACAAGTCTGGCACTAGGTCATTTCAGGGTTAGTTCAGTAGCTCAACGATGTTAGTGAGCAAGGTCAGAGTCTGTTTTGGTTCTTTTCCTCAAGATTTAAGATGGCTGCAGCAGCTTGAACAATCTATCCTTATATGATAGAGAGGATGGAGATTGGAAAAGGGTTTTCTCCTCACATTCCTCTTTGTTTCATCAAGGAAGAAATTCCTTCCCAGAAGTCTCTCGCAGCGTTAGCCTGTGCTTAGCTCCAAGGGGTTGTGGGAAATTAGTATATGTCATTTCATGCCTCCATCACAGGAGCAGACTCCACCTGTAGAAAGCAAAGGATAGAACTGGCTGATGATAAGACAGCTAAATAATATTTACCTCAGAGATCAAGCGACTAAAGGAATGCTTTGTTAGGATATTTTCATTCATCTTCAACATGTAGTGTTGACAAGGCATAGTAGACAACACTAGAAAATCATTATGTAATTCTGAAGAGTAAACTTTTCATCCAGGTTACTGAGTAAGAGTTACCATTTCCTACTATATACTAGACACTTCACAAACATATTTACATTTGTCCAACAACATCTCATAAAGAAGACAGCATTATTCTCTCATTACAGAGATTTAGAAATGCATAGGAAGTTGCCAAAGGTCCTTGCTTTAGTTTATTTTGTGTTGCTACAACAGAATATCTGAGACTGGATAAAGAAAAGAGGTTTATTTAGGTCACAGTTCTACAGGCTGGGGAGTTCAAGGGCATGGGCTTTCGTGCTTGTCATAACATGGCAGAGAAGGACATTTGTGAAGAGGCAAAATACAAGGGGCATCCCGGCTTTATAACAACCCACTCTCTTGGGAACTAATTTATTCCCAGGGGAACTAATCCAGTCTCCCCAGAGTGAGAACTCTCACTACCTTGATAATGTAACTAAGCTATTCACAAGGGATACACACCCATGACCCAAACACCTCCCACTAGTAGGACCCACCTCCCAACACTGCCACAGTGTGGATCAAATTTTAACATGAATTTTGGTGGGGACAAGCCATATCTAAACCATAGCAGTCTCCTAGCTAGTAAGTGACCCATCTTGGAATTGAAGCTAGATTTTTCTGACTTCTGTGTTTATACTGTTACCCCCTTCCCGTTCTTTCCCAACTGTCCACCTGCCCCAGCCAGGAAAGATGATATTCCTCTCAGAGGCAGTAAGATGGCAAAATTACTGCCTCTGAGGTCCTTTCCAACAGTTATGTATGACGTGAGCTTTCTTTAATGGCTTTAAAGATCTTCTAGTTATTTTTTTTATCCCATTGGTCTAAAACCATTTTTATAAAGAAGTGTGCTTACATATGATTCAGTGGTTCTGAATACTTTTATTTCCTTCCATGTTTAATTTTTCTCTCTGACTGCTTCACTCTTGTTTGCAGCTCCTGTGGCTGGATAAAGCCAGGGCAATTCTTTGGATGTCAATCATTTTGAAGGGCGACTTTCTTGCATGACTTGGTAAGATCTGAAAGGAGGATAACCACAATGGTGAGGCATCCCCAGGCAGCTGGCAGTCTTGAGCACCCAAATGTAATTGCTCTATTTTATTCACCGCAGCCTGCCTGCTGTGTTCATCAGACTGCCCAGTGGAACAGAAGGTAATCAGGGCCGCAACCATCTCAGAAATTCAGGCACGCACAACCAAAGTTAAAAATATGTAAAAAAAAAAAAATACTTGAATTTGATTTGCTTTCATAGTACCCAATTTCTGGATAAGAACAAGAGGAAACTGCAAAACTGGGGCACACTAAAAGTCATCTTTGCTCAAGAAAATTCAGGAAGAACTGTGAACATTTAATAACTTCAGTATCCAACCGCTCATAGTAAGTGCTTGCTTAATGCATAGACAAGACAGGGAGATTCAGAGAGCAGGCAACTCAAGGCATTTCCATTTTATTTAAAAAACTGTTTGATCTCTGTTGAAATTTAGGATTCTGCTTTTGACTTTGCTAGATAAAGTTGGAGTAGAAATGAATTATTCATATGAAATATTGCCTCAATAACACTGCATCAAATAAACATAATGAAAAGCTGCCCATGTTATATAAGGGAAGCTAAGTCACAACTCTTTTGAATTGCAAAGTTAAGCACTTGGGGCTAGACTCTTCTCCAACATTATTCTATGGAAGAATCCACTTAGGAGGATGTAATGCTCAGATCCTTTTTATTTCCGGTCAGACATGCATTTGTGGTTTATGAGTTTAAACTACAGTTGTAACCATGATGTTATTAAATCTCACAGTCCTCATCCTGATTCCATCCAAGTCATTGGAGGCCAGAGAGAAATTTCTGTGACAGTGTATCCAATACCATTGCAGAATTTCAAGTGAACCATAGAAACACGGTAACCAGTATTCTTTCCCCACCCATGAATCGTGCACATAAGGATGTTTTCAACAACACCAACACATACACATATCCGTGGCTTTGAGGTAAAATTGAAAGACAAATAGCACCCACAGTTATCAGCGATGTTCCTTTTTTTTTTTTCTTACAATGCTTTGGCTAATAGATTAAAAGAGAGAGAAAGGTAAACTAAACCTAAATAAACAGTGCATGTCAGGGGAATTGAGCTCTGCTGAAATTCAATAGATAACACTTGAATTCTTGCTGACAATTCAACTTTAAAGATTTGTAGTTCAATAAGATATAGGAAGTAGCTGTGTCAGCTCTGGGCAAGATGGTGTGGGAGAGTTTGACTTCAGCTTTGCCCTTGTCCCTGTCCTCTATCCTTTGGACACTTGAGATCTTACAGCAGCAGGCCCATTACACTGAAGTGGATGCTCAGTGGTTCCTAATCACTGCCTCAGGATCACTAAAGGGCTTTGTAAAATTGCATTCCTGGATCTCAGTCTAGACCCGAATTGGAGTCTTGAGAGTTGAGGAGCTCCCTGTGCTTCCCAAGGAATTCTGACACCCAGCTGGCTCTGGAAACCATGGGTGAAGTGAGGCAGTTGAGAGCACAAGCTCTGCAGCTGGCCCACAAGGCAACATGGGCAAAGTCATTGTTTATGGGCTACATGTTTGTGTCCCCCAAAAATTCATATATTGAAGCACTAACCCCTAATGTAATGACAATAGAAGGTGAGGCCTTTAGGAAGTAATTAAGTTTAGATTAGATCATGACGATGGGGCCCTCATGTGGCCCTCATGTGTACTTATAAGAAGAAGAGTCATGACAACCCTCTCTCTTTCCATGTGAAGGCACCAGGAAAGGCCATGTGAGCTCACAGGGAGAAGGTGGCTGCATACAAGGCAGGACATGAGCCCTCATCGGGCACTGAATCTGTAGGCACCTTGCACTTGGACTTCCCGGCCTCCAGAATGGTGAGAAATAAATGTCTGTTATTTAAGCCACCCAATTTTTGGTAGTTTGTTATGGCATTCTGAGCTAAGACAGTAGTTAACTTCTCTGCCTCAGTTTCTGTATCTGTGAAATGGTACTAGCAGTGCCAGTCTCTCAAGATGGTTGTGAGAATTCAGTGAGGTATTTACACAGCCAGTTGAGCCCAGCATGTCAGCTGTGTCATGACTTCGAGAGGAAGGAACATGGAATTAAACCTGGAGCATCTATAGGTGACAGAGTCCTGGTGGTTCAAGTTTTAGACTAGTTTTCTTCATTTATAAAATGAGAATGATGATACCTGCTGATTCTGTCTCAGAAAATTGTTGCAAGAAGTGTATGAGACAGTACCAGTGATTCAAATTACACTTTATTTTTGTTAAAAATCAATGAAATAAAAGGGAAGGCTGCAGTTTTGATATCCAAAGGCCCACTGCCATAGCCAGTTAGCCAAAACTTAAGTCATCTTGATATCCCTAAAGTAATGGCTTTAATTTTAAGCAAAACACAAAACCTAAGCTTTTCATCTGTGTCAGCATACTTCAGTGAAATTAAGCCAATCACCTATAGATGAATCAACTTAAATAGTTCTGTTTACCTTAAAAAGAACATGGAAGTATAACAGCTCATCACAAAAAGGTCAAAATACTTTCTCTGTTATGATTTATAGGGTGTGCTGTAACTATTGTGAGCTGAGCTTCTTGTCATTTTTGGTTTGACATCTCTGCATTCTTGATCTGTTCATTTGTATGCACAATAGTTTTAAAAATTTTAACTTGATCTGATTTTATTTTGGACATATTAAATAAGTAAATATATAATTATAACAAAATAATATAATATAACAATGTTAATTTTTATAATATAAATTATGATATATGTAGAAAACAATATATAAATATAATATATAAATAAAATAATAATGGTAGATGTAATTTATTGAGCACAGATCATATAAAAGGCACTGTATTTGATATTTTTAGTTCATGATACTGCTTCTCAAGAGAAAACCTCTACTGTTTGTTGAGGGCTCTTATTGGCTGGGCACCATGTGAGGTGTTCTCTAACACTAAAAACAAACACTTGTAAAGCACTTACTATGAGGCAGGCACAGTTCCAAGGGCTTTGCATATGTGAATTGCTTTAGTCATCACAACTACTAAAAAGTCCTTGCTGTTACTGACATTTTACACATGAGAAAAATGAGGCCCAGAAAGGTTAAGTAACATGCTCAATGTCACACAGTACGTGCTGGAACTGTTGTTGGAACCTACACATTCTGGCTCTGGAATCCATTCTAAACCACCATTCTAAACTGTATTTATGAATATGAAAATTTTTAATAATATGCTTCATAAATATTTGTCACATAAATCTCTAAATCTTTGTGTCTTCTGGGGATAGCATCATCAGACCTAGAGAGAGAATTGCCTGATATCCCTTTCTTACTTTTCTTAGCAGATCCTGTTTAGAACACTGTCCACACTATCCTTAGCTCTGGGTGATGTTTCAAATGGCATATGACATTTCTTCTTCCCTCCCCACCCTCTTCATTTCCTAGCCTGCCTTTCTTCCTCCTTCTTTTATTATCCTCTCCCTCCTTTTCCATTCAAAAGTATTTATTAAATCCATGCTATGTGTCAAGCAACATGCTAAGCTCTGAGAGTTCAGCAGTAAACGAGATGACATTGGGCTTTGCCCTCAGAGAGCTAATGTTCTAGTGAGAAAAAGAGGCAATATGATAAATAATCATCAAATATATGCAGTGAGCCTGGGGAAATAGAGAGAGCGCCATGGGAGTGCAGGAATGGGCATCCTAAGGTTCAAGGAAGATATCCTTAAGGAATTGCCATCTATGCCAAGACTTGGAGCACTGGTGGACTTGTGGGTGAAGCCTTAGGAGACACTGTTTCAGGTATAGGCATAAGCATGGACAAAGGCCTACAGGCAAGATAGAGGGTGGCTTGCTGTAGAAATTGAAAGACATTTTCTATGCCTAGGATTAGCATTTCCAAAGGGGAAATTGGAGAGAGAGGAGAAGGGAGAAATTAAGGTGAGATCAGATTATAAAGAGTTAATGGTAGAGATGAAAAAGGGTTTGAACTTCATGCCTAGAGCCATAGAGGGAGGTATTGAGGGATCTCAGCAGGGGTGTGGCACGGTGAGGTTTACATTTTAGAAAGATCACTCTGGTGACAGTATATCATGGTAATTGGAAGGGAACAAGGATAGAGGCAGAGAGAGAAAGGCATGAGGGAGATTTTGTGGCCATCAGATGACACATGTAGCAGAGGCGTGGACCAGGGTGGGGCTATGGGATATCTACTAGATGAGATATTTCCGAGTTGCAATCAGTAGAACTCAGCAACTGACTGCATGTGAGGGGTGACCAGGATGCCTTAGGAAACTCTCTTTAGAAGGAAACATTAAGGGGATCGAGTATCTTTAGTCTAGAGAGGTAGAGTGAAGAGAAAGCATGAGAGGGATTTTTAAATATTTAGTACAGTATAGCTTTTACAATGTTTTGATTAATTTTATTTCTGCCTCTGAAAGGGTGGCCAGCTAAGAGTGCACCTATTAAAATATCATGTTGACACAACAATGTGGGCCTTGTAAAGATGTTCTATAAATACATGCCTTGCATTATGGAGTTGGGAGAGGCCCAGTTGTTCTCCATGATAGCCACAGGGTGAGGAGGATGAGTTGAGGCCACTAAAGGAAAGAGCAGCTGAGCTCCAGCCATCTGATGCCTCTGCTGGGCACAGAGAGGTGCAGAGGATGTGCTTCTGGAACTGAACAGAAGTGGCTGCAGAGGGTAGGGTTAAAGTTACAGGAGACAGATGGCATAAGACCTGAAGAACTTTCTGACAGTTGTCTGGCAGTTGTTTCAATGAGGTGAGCTCCTCACCCCTGGATATGTTGAAGCAGATCTGGCCACACATCTGTCATGCAGGGGCTTCCTGTTGAAAGCTCCCAGCCTGTGATCTCTAGGGCCTCTTATGACTGTCTTCAACAGTTCAGGACTGTCCTACAACAGTCCATAAATAGTTCTAAGGAATTCCATTCCTTACTTCCCAGGAGAAGAGTCCCTCTCACTCATGTCTGTACTGTCTCAAGCCAGTGTGAGGAGCATGAGATTATTATCACAGGAGTGATAATAATCTTTCCAAAGAGTATCATCGGTTCTGTCATTCCAGAATTTGCCATCTTATAGCTGTATTACACTATGGTCTCTAGATATTATCTTTGTCTAAACAAAACTGGAATGAGAATTCACATCTTTTCAAGAGAAAGCTACCTCACTTGGTTCTCTCTCAGAGAAGTTTATTTTATAATTCAATGCATGATTTCCATTTGGGGAAAAAAGAGAGAAAATTCCAGAGGAAAATATTATATCAATTTTGCCTCTAGCTTGACTACCTAACAGAGGCAGAGAATCAATCCGATGTTAGGGCTCAAAGTGAGCATGAGTTATACGTGTTGTTTACAATTCCTTTAGAGAGCACTTACGTGCTCTTTATAATAAGAACAAATGGTTACTAAGGACCCTCCTAGAGCTGTCAAATTCATTTTACTTATGTCCAAGTTTTTACTTAGGTTTGCTAAGTAAATAGAAGCCTATTGCCCTGTGAGCCACCTCCCTTCTTCAGGGTTATGCTTTTAAAAGCATTCTCAACAGGAAATAAGTTTCATTAGTGTTTGGAAAATAAATTGGTGAGGTGACAGATTCTGTGATTTGATGGAAGCTCAATTATAATTGTATAACATAATATAGCAAGTGCAGATGAAATCCTATTAAGGTCTGGAAATCCAATATCTCATCTCTATGACTTTTAATTGATTTTTATACATATTGTCATTGCAGTCAAATATTTGAGCAGATTCCAGTACACATAAACAAATGTAAGCACATTAACTCTGTTAATAATTTTAACAAGTAATCTGTATTTCCCATTAGACCGTCTCGAGCTCTGCCTTGGCATAATTAAAGATAGCATCAGTGATAAGCCTAATGCGTTATTTAAAGTATGCATGTGCTGAAGTCTTGCTTTTATCATTAACTACATCATGATGTAAGCTGTGCAGCCATCATTAAAAAATTAGACCTTCTCTTTCTTTCTGAAGCAAATTTGATGGTGGCAGGGAGAGGGAGGCCCCATGGGATGGTGTAGAAACCATGATGAAGAGTAGAAAGTCTGAGGTCTAGTCTTGACAGCCACATGAGATCTTTCACCTTTCTGATCCTATTTCATCATCTAAAGTAGTGCTAACATTCTTATTTCTGTAAGGTAGATACTAACTCCCTACTTTGCTAATAACTGATGGTTGTATATAAAAACTGTTGCCTTTATGTTCATTTTTGTTCAAATTTCATACAACTGGATAATGTAAGCTCAGATGTGCGTGGCAAAGAAGTGGTCAGGGAATGTGTTTCTCCTGCTCATTGTTACACCTGCAACATCAAGTCCAGTGCCTGGTATGTGCTTTAAATAATATTTGTTGAATGAATGAGTGAATGAATGAATGAATTCTAGTCATTCTGTCTTCCGTGGACATAGATTAAAGAGATTGGCTGGGCTTCCCATTCAGTATCCCTTGTGCTTTTATTTTTAGGCTAGATTAAAACATTGTTAAGTTACTTCTGAAAAAGTACATCTTCAGTAATATGACACCAAATGCCTTTTCCCGTCTGTAATGAAATGGAGGTGAATCAGAACAAAGCACTGCCTCCAGGACTGTCCCCCAATACTTGCCTATTAAACAGAGCACAGTATGGAGATGCTCCACTGAGTCAAAAGCAGTCAGAGACTTAATTTTTTGGTTTCCAGCTCACTATTTGCATGTCATACAGATATGACATTTGAGAATGTTCTTTGAGTACTCAGAGAACATTAAAGTCTAAACCATGCTGTAAACAAAAATAACTTTTAATACCAGCTATGACTAATCCAGTGCTTTTGTTCATTAGGTAGAACAAACATTC